ATGAAATGATTTTTACTGATGACCAGTAAGTTGTTTAAATCTAATCTTTTGATTATTATAATTTAATAACAAACATTCTATTTTTTAACTAGATTCAAAAATTATTATGAAAATGCCCATGACTATTTAAATATAATTACTGGAGAAGATTTAATTGATATCAAATTTCCATCAATTACAAAAACACAAATATTTCCTAAAATTGTTGATCAATTTATGTTTGTAATAAATGAAAATGAATTGCAAATTAAAGAAATTATTAAACTGGATTTCTGTCTCCCTCCTCCTCAATATATAAATTATTCAATAAAAGAATTTAAAAAAATACCAGGTTTTAGAAAAGATGCCAATGTAACTAATGATACATACATCAGAGTTCCTGGATTTGGAATAGCTAGCTTTCATGATCTAAATAAAATAAATAAAATATATTCAGCAATAAAATATCAACAAGATCTTAAAATTTTAATTAAATGGATTATCTTCAGCAAAATTGACCAATCCATCAAGAAAGCATTAAATGAAAGAATAATTAAAACAAAAAAATTATACCAGGAACTTAGAATCAACTTAAGCATAAAAATTGTAGATTTATGCACTTTGGCAGGGTGGAATTATATAAATGATTCTGTAATTGATTCAGTACTAAAAATATTTATGGCTTATAAAACCCAAACAATCAATTACAATCATATTATTTTGCTTCCAGTACACTTTTATAGTTCTATAATGGACAATAACTTTAAGTTAGCATCTAGGCTGTTAAATAATTTTTGTTTTCAAAGTGATGAAACTAAACAAATTTATATTATTTTACAACCATTGGACAGTTGCAAAACTTGATATGAATCAAAACGGACCCGGACACTTTACCGACACCCACTTTACCGACAAGACACTTTACCGACAACACGCGACGTGATATTTTAGCATTTTGTTAGTTTGTTTGATTATGTAGAGATTAAATGTAACCCCGTGTGTTGTCGGTAAAGTGTCTTGTCGGTAAAGTGGGTGTCGGTAAAGTGTCCCAGACCCGAATCAAAAAAAGTTTATTATGGTGACTTTTTAAAATCTGCAGCTCCAAATGGTTTAATAAAAAACATTAACCATTTTTTTTGCAAATTATAATATCATGTTTGAAAATAGAATTTATTACATTAAAAAGATTCCTCATCAAAACGCAACTTTAGATTGTGGAATAATTGTCTTAAATTATATTGAACAAGAAATTGGGATAAGCAATCAATCATGGAGTATGAAACAATCTGATTATTTTAGAATTAGATATTTATGCCTAACTCTAAATTGCAACCCAGAAGAATTTGGTTTTCCACAAGGTGTTAGAGATTCAATTAAAATCAATTTTCCATTACAATCATATTTGGATGAAGATGGTAACAATATTGATTGCAATGATAATAATAATAATAATAATGGCAATTATGGAGACAACTTCAACCATGATGATTATGAATATCATAAAGATGATTTTGGTTGTGAAGATTATGAAGATGATTTTGATTACAAAAACTATAAAGACTACATTAGTTATAATGATGGTGGCAAAACCTCTAATAATCTTTGCTATGATGATTATGATAATTCAATGGATTCTGATCAGTATAGATTGAAATCTGATGAAATAAAATCATATTTGTCAAA